TGTCAATCTTAACGTTTATGGTATGTTCTTTAAACTCCAACCGAAGTTCTTTTGCAATGCAGTTTTTTGTTTTTATACGATTTTATATATTACAATCAACTTTCAATTTAAATCATTTTCATGACGACGAAATATAATTATCACACGAGTGTTATAAATTGTAAAATTTGTCAATGTACCATTACCAAAACTTACTTCAGACGTTGAATCGGTAAACAAAGAAGTAAAGAAAGGCTCTGCAACAACAATATCCTGTGTTATCATCGGAATTATTGAAACAGCAACAGTAACTTGGCGGACTAGTACAGGACCAGTTCCAGCTGAAAAGTTCACCCCTGTCCAAGGAAGCTTCTCCGGAGGGACACAGACATCAACTCTTGCTGTTAACGGAACTCTTGTCAATGAAGATACTGCCTACACTTGCAGAATAACTTCCGGATCTTTACCTGATTCCAGCCACTCGGATACCACTGTCAATCTTAACGTTTATGGTATGTTCTTTAAACTCCAACTGAAGTTCTTTTGCAATGCAGTTTTTTTGTTTTTATACGGTTTTATATATTACAATCAAATTTCGATTTAAATCATTTTCATGACGACGAAATATAATTATCACACGAGTGTTATAAATTGTAAAATTTGTCAATGTACCATTACCAAAACTTACTTCAGACATTGAATCGGTAAACAAAGAAGTAAAGAAAGGCTCTGCAACAACAATATCCTGTGTTATCATCGGAATTATTGAAACAGCAACAGTAACTTGGCGGACTAGTACAGGACCAGTTCCAGCTGAAAAGTTCACCCCTGTCCAAGGAAGCTTCTCCGGAGGGACACAGACATCAACTCTTGCTGTTGACGGAACTCTTGTCAATGAAGATACTGCATACACTTGCAGAATAACTTCCGGATCTTTACCTGATTCCAGCAACTCGGATACCACTGTCAATCTTAACGTTTATGGTATGTTCTTTAAACTCCAACTGAAGTTCTTTTGCAATGCAGTTTTTTTGTATTTATACGATTTTATATATTACAATCAACTTTCAATTTAAATCATTTTCATGACAACGAAATATAATTATCACACGAGTGTTATAAATTGTAAAATTTGTCAATGTACCATTACCAAAACTTACTTCAGACGTTGAATCGGTAAACAAAGAAGTAAAGAAAGGCTCTGCAACAACAATATCCTGTGTTATCATCGGAATTATTGAAACAGCAACAGCAACTTGGCGGACTAGTACAGGACCAGTTCCAGCTGAAAAGTTCACCCCTGTCCAAGGAAGCTTCTCCGGAGGGACATAGACATCAACTCTTGCTGTAAACGGAACTCTTGTCAATGAAGATACTGCTTACACTTGCAGAGTAACTTCCGGTTCTTTACCTGATTCCAGCCACTCGGATACCACCGTCAATCTTAACGTTTATGGTATGTTCTTTAAGGGGGGGGGGGGGGGGGGGTTCACCCTCATTTTTTTGTGAAACTTGGTTTCGAGATAGCAGTTGACCAACAATTTAGGACCAGTGACCGAACTTTTGAGGGGGTCCCGGACCCCAACCGCCAAACGGTGCCCGCGGGGCAGCCACGCCCATATTTGGTCCAAATTAGGCCCAATTTAGCCAAATACCCTGAACATGACCAAAATCCAGATTTTAAGTGCTCAACTTGTAGCTAGTGGTACCATGAACTTGTATATGAATTTTCATCAAGATTAGACAAAAAATGACTGAGTTATGAGCCAAAAACCATATGACCATATTTGGGCATACGCACCAAATTTGATCGATTTTGGCCCATAAATTGGTCAAATATCAATATTTTTGAATGAAACCAACTTTATATGGAAGGTAAGCCTATACTACACATTATCTATGATTATCAGCTCAGTATCTACCTAACTGTGGATTCTGTGTTCAAATAATCGCAAAAAATGAACAAAATTCCCCATATCTCAGTTCGCGATATTTGCAAAACTGACTTCGCTCAAAACAATAGAACTCAATAGGGTTTCAATATTTTTTCATGAAATTTTCAGAGTCAACGTAGAATTGTCTCATGACCTTAAGTTTTGGGACAGAATTTTGAGTTAGGCCTTTAAAAAATTTAGCGGCCAAATTCCAAAATTTGCACTGCTAAATTTAGAATTAGGCTGCCAAATTTTTTGGGCATGTTTAGGGTATTTGGCTAAATTGGGCCTAATTTGGACCAAATATGGGCGTGGTTGCCCCGCGGGCACCGTTTGGCGGTTGGAGTCCGGGACCCCCTCAAAAGTTCGGTCACTGGTCTTAGTTTGTTGGTCAACTGCTATCTCGAAACCAAGTTTCACAAAAAAATCAGGGTGAACCCCCCCTTAAATGCCAAACAGTGTCATTACTCATTTTTCAATACAGTTATTGATTTAAGGACGAATTTGAATCTTGCACTTGCAGTTAAACATTCATCGTGGATTATGAATCATAAATTGTAGTATTTTAAATAACTGCAAATTTTTATTTATATTGGATGTATTAATTTCAGAGATAATGGTGAAAAGCTATGACGTGCTAGCAGGTACTGCATCAACGTTGACTTGTTCAATAAAAGGATCAGCTGCCAATTTGATACATATTCAGTGGGTGGACAACAAAGGAAAACTTTTCTCTCATGATTCAGACATTTCTGACTTGACTGTCAGGTAATATTTTATATTTTTCTTTATAGAGCTGCACGCCATATATGTCAATCTTTTATATTACTGGAATATACCGATTACTGAAATGATAGAATATTTGAGATCCTAATACAGATATATGATATATTGCTGTTTTATAATTTGTTGCAAAATGTAGATGTTGTCATGGATTACCGACTCTTTCAATTTATCAGCGATGGAGCACTTAAGGATGGGATGAAGGAGTCTACTATGATCCTTTTAGCTGACGTGACTTTGTTAGGCGATCAACTATTCACATGTAGGATTTCAGTAGGAGAAAAAGATCAATATGATGATACCTTGGTGGCTCTCAAAACCTTCACAGTTCGGTACGTTTAATAATGTAGTTCAAAAATCTTATTTAATATTGCGCAAATGAAAGAATGCGTAGAATTAAATAATACGTTCTTAAACTGAAATCTCCATTTGACCAATCATAATCAATATCATATTGTTGTATTAAATTTTGACCTACTCCAATTTCCCTAAATTTCCATTGAATTCAACTTCTTATTTCAGTACAACCAATGATTATGTTAGAACAGGAGACCCAGCAGTATTGAAGTGCACTGTGATCTTTCCTACCGACACATTGACAGTTGCTTGGTCACACCAAAATACTATATTTGAAGGTTAAATTCCAAGTTTTTGTGTAACTCTATGGAACACTACTTTGAGCTTGGTGCCCCCTTGGCCTTATAGTACAGGGAAATCCGTCTGAAAAAATCGATCTGCTGACACACGAAGCTTTCAGAGGATTTTTGACGTTTTTGAGTCCCATTAGGTGCCCTTTATGGCTGACCAACTTTTCCAAACTTTTCCACGTGGCTTAAGGCCACTTTTTGCCACTTTACCACTTTTTACCACCTTTCTTGTTTGTCGAATATTTTTAGTTGTGAACATCGTAAAAGGTTGCGAATCAATCGAGTGTGTTCATATTATCAGGAAAAAAAACTTTTGTTCTAACAATTTTTACGTCAGATAATAAGTTAATTGGATAATTATCAATTGACCAATTAGCAAAATTCTTAAAAATTTTTTATTGGCTAAAAATGATCGGAATAGCTTAAAACACGGAGAAAAGTAGTTTTTAGAAAAAATTTGAAAATTTTTCACTTACATTTTTTTTTCGAGACTTCGAAAAATTTCGAAAATTCAAAATATTTTTTTCCGCCAAAAGTGATCAAATTGCATGAAACGCGGAGAAAAATGATTTTCAAAATAACTAAGTCAATTTTTCGTTTCAAGTATACTTAAATCACCAATATTTGTAGTTGGAGTTCAGTAAATCTCGGCAGATTTTAGTAATAATCAGGAATTACTAACTCTAAGTAGGAAAGGTCTGAAACTGAAAAACGTTAAGTTTAACCATACGATCGCGATATAAGAGTTTTATAACTAATTACAATACGTACAGCCTTATCGATTTTCACAGAAACTGCACCAATGGCACAGTCAAGATCGAAACGATAGCCTGCTGTACTGTCATTTTATTGATTTCAATGATGAATCAGTGGGGTTAAGATAATCACATTTGTAATAAATAAAACCTCTCTGTAACGTCAATTGTGCTAATCTAAACCGGCCTACCTGTATTACCAGACCTCTTCTTTTCCTCAACAATCAAACCGAGTTGTTCATATCGCATTTGGTATTGATATCAATATTATATCATATGTAACATTTTAACTTTTTTTTGCAGAGACAAGAAAAGAAACCTTACAAAATAGTACAACAACAACAATTTTACGATTAGACCCTCCCAACGAAGTTGCTTCTTACACTTGCATAGTCTTCGCCCATGGTCAAGAGTATAACTTTTACTCGGAAGTTGAAATAGAAACCGATGGTAATCTAAATCAACAGATTATAATATTTCATTCTAATTTCGAAACAATCTTAAAAATCAGAGAGACTTTGCATCCTTTTTTTGTTATTAGACTTTTACTCAGTCGAGGCGTAGAATGATTTAAATGAGTCAGTTGAATTCACTATCGATTTCAAAAATGATTTATTTGACAAGTAAGAGTATAAAGAATATTTTATTGAAAATTATCTGAACGGTTTAAATTGTGAGCTATGAATTTGCATGATCAAATTTATGCACTCTTTGTTCGTGAGCGTGTTTACTTTTTATTGTGACCGTAAATTTTAAAACCGACTAGGTAGTGCAGATTGTGTGAACATCTCAAAAGTTTCAATATATGTAATAGCATCCACCAACAGGTTTGTTGCTGACACCAGAACATGAGATAAGAGCTTTCAACGGAGCAACAGTCAACCTGAAATCTTTTTATTTCTTCTCCTCGTTTGCTGAAGGACACTTTTGGTGGAAGCACAATGACTCTCTGTGTTTGACTAAAACTTGCAGGTATTTTTGTTTTACCGCGGGTTTTGCTGTACTGAAGTAGTTGTTAACCCATATCTATCAAATAACAAATAAACCGATTTGAATTTAACTACAAACATTGTTCAAATATTTTCCTCGTAGGGATATTATCAACTCTCCAAAGACCTCCGTAATCAGCATCATTGTAAGCAACTCTACAGTTGGGGCCTGGAGATCCTTTTACACAGAAACAACGAGCAGTAAGCTTAATTTTGTCAATTATATACTATTCTGTTTTTGCAGAGTGCAGCAATATGGTATAAACATTATTTCACTGAAAATAGAGATTTTCATTCGATTATATATCCGTGGACCGTGAATATCACTCACATATCGCAGAGCGAATTCTACAGAGCAACCAAGTGATTTTGATTGGAGTGAATGTCAGTGGGACTCAATATCCCAATTCTGTGTGGGGCATTACAGGGACTGAATCAGAAGTCACCTGTTCCGTACCATTTAACATGACTGATTCTATTTTGAATAATTTGCGGTAAGTTTATGCTACGAGCTTAGACAGCCTAAAGACTAAAGAGTTGATTGGAAAATATTTTGTGAGTCACAATAATCTCATTTACAAATTATGGACCAAAAATTGTGGCCAGTTTTCATGCTAGTAACCAGAATTTCATGATATATCTATATATTTCACTTCTATCCAAATTAAATGTCTTGGTAAATCATAATACGATGTTTACTAAAAATGTCAAAACACGAAGGTGGAAGTTGGATGGCAAGTTTGTAAACAATAAAGGTTTTACCTATAATAAGCACCATGATGTTATCATCTTCAAAATGATGGAGAAAGTTTATGGCACTACAACGGTCCAGTGGAAAATCATAGTTGCTCACTCCACAGCAGCTGTTGGAAATCTTTATTGCCGGGCCCAGTACAGCACAGGTAAAGAAAGAAATTCTCAATCAGGCTTCCCTTAAATTTAGTTCATTAAATATAAAAGAATTTTCAAGTGGAAACATGCCAGTTAAAGGTTTATGACCTTTACGCAGAACCTCAAAGTTTTGTTGAATAAAAAACTCTCGAACCCAGGACAAATCGTTGATACACCAATGAGTCATCTGAACGAAATAAGGATAGACAGCGACCTCGATTTAATAGTCCTGACTCCAGATACAGGAGCTGTGGTGACTTTTATAACTCATGCACCTTCAGCACCGCTGTCAAGGAATTTGGATTGCTCTCTTGATCTTGTGAGTGAGAATTAATTATTTCAAACAAATTTTCTGGCATGCTTCATTTGTTCTACCATTCGTGAAGATCGTAGGTTCTAGAAATAACACTGAATTCTAACTATCGATATCTCAGGTCAACCCTATTAGTAAATCGACAGATTCAAAAATCTCAACCGATGGGTTAATCTTCACCGAAGTTTATCACATTCGCAGGTGAGAACATCTTTAGAAAGTACAAGTTAAGATTAAAATTATTTATCAATCAAAAAAATAGCTTCCATCCTACTTTCGTTTTTACAGACACAATTAACGTAAGTTGATTTAAGGCTGATGAAATAGGGGTTGTGATGCATTATTCCTCCCTAATTATCTCACAGGAAAGGGGGAGGAGGGTAGGAGGGGTGATTAAATCATTGATTCAATTATTTTCAGTTCTGATTCTATGATAGAAGCAGGCTCAAAAGATGATTTAGTTTCACAACATGGTACTTGTGACTACTCCGTCCGGATTCAGAATTCAGTCCAAGAATCTCTTACAGTTACAGTGAAATTCTCGTTGCTCGGCAAGTATTTCTGTGTTCCTACAGCACTACACTATTTTGAACTTTTCTACCTAATGCTTTGGAAAATGACACAACGCCCTCAAAATGATTCCCACTCGATAATTCCATCAATAATTTAATTTTCTACACTTTCACGATCGGTCTCCGATTATTTCCCTGCAATATTGTGTTCCATAATCAAAGTAAGATTCGAATAACGAAATAAATAATATATTGATTTGCATGATTAATAATATTATGAATACTATCATAATTGATACAATATAAAGGAATTCGAGTAATACTGATATTTATAGATGTCTTTTTTCTGGGATATCATTTGTAAACTTTCTCGTCGTTTAGGTGAAGCAGTTGTCATAACACCAGTTTTGGCAACGGTGGGACGACCAGCTATTTTGACAACTTATTTCACTGCCAGAGACTTATCCGACGTCAGGATCACATGGCAGAAAAGAAGTAAGTAAGCTTTATTTAAGTTAACGTTAGTAATTGTGTTCGTAGTTATATGTTAGTAATTTTTGAATGATAATACTTTTTGAATGATCAAAACTGAAAAAGTTTAATAATTACTACTAGATGGAGGGTCAATAAATTGGGAAAGTCTTCCATCGGATCACCAGTGGCAGTACCGTACACTTATCTCTCCAATCGATGATAAAGGTGTGATGTCTACCAAACTCTTCATTCAGAGATTGACTTCTAACGATGTTACAGGTATAGAAATGCGATAGGTTCTCCAATAATTTAATCTTAGGATGTTATAGTTATCATTTTATTGTTTACTATGTTCGTTGTAACTTGTATCTACACAGGCACTAGTAACCTATATTATTACATCGATCTTTGAATAAACTATCTTTAGAAGTTAATAAAGTTTTTTTTTTTTTTTTTTTTTTTTTTTTATTTTTTTTAAATGAGGAACCTGCCAAACCCCAGGACACCAGGAGGATACCACCGGCAAAGCGGCTAATAGTACCCTCCGGTCTGTGTTGTACCGAAGAAGCTGAGTTAATCGATCATGACTCGGCTTACCAGCCAAGAGGCAAAATCTGAGCGGCACCAAGGGTTCAGAGAGTGTCATTTCAGCTTCTCCGGTGCTGGATGCCCTGGGGTTTCACATGCGCCGTAGCAAAATAAATATAAAAACACACGCACAAAATTTTTTTTATTCTTTTAGATAATACGTCGAATAAAGTCAGTGGATATAGAGTAATAAATTGCACATAAGATGGAGAGAAAAAGGGGAGATACTACTGGTTTTAAATGTGACTCTATATCAATACTAGTAGTGGAGATAACTCCACTGGCTACAACTTGTGAAATAAAGGGTAAAGGTAAGGCACGGCTGTAATTTCGAGAAAATAAATAAACAAGAGTGTATAGTCGATCCAGAACTTCGGGTATAAAATGGTCATCAAGGTATAACGTCTTTAAGGCACCGTATAATATCCGGTTTTTCACCTAATAAGAAAAGCTTAAGATGTTTAAGATATCGCTCCCAGAATAGGGGTTCCTTGTTCTGGAAACTCCTTCCAATAAACCAACAGCAAACCGAATTTATGAAGTTAACACTTTTATCTCTGTGATTTAAGCAAATCAAATAGTGGCGATATGGGTCGTCATAATTTGCGTCAATATTCGATCTAATAAACAGATTTACTCCCTGTAGGAAAGAGCTTGTGGCTGGACAGTCAATAAATATGTGAGAGATAGTTTCGAGGTTGTGATTACATAACGAGCAATTTGGACTATCTTTTTCAATCTTCATTTTATATCTCATGTACCGACAAGTACTAATCCGGTGAAGGAGCTTATATTGGTACTGAATAAGTTTGAAGTTATTTGAGAAAGAAGTAAAAATATCCGTAAAAATACTAATCCAATCAATATCCGTTAAGGAGAGGTTAGCACTCCAGTTCCTCATTGGAGGAAGGGTGCTGGGATCTAAACGCTTAGACATGGTATCTCTAATGTTTCTACCTTTGATAGTGAGAGGAGTATCTCTAGAGTTGGGGGTATTCCTACCTCCCCAAAAGCGAAGTGAAAGTTGGGTATCGATAAATGTAATGTTACTTGTAAACGTATCGGTATTATTAAATCGACGTATTCCCAATTTTATACTCGCATATTGAGTCGAAGAGATTATACTACTTGTTTGGCCCCACTTTCTCAGAAATTGCTGAAAACTTAAGAGGTTACCTTCCTCTGAAACGAAATCAGAAAGATAGATGATATTTCTATCAATAAGAATATCGTTCCAGAGCTTGGAGCCAATGTCCGTTATTACGTCGCTTCCCCACACACAGTGGTTGACTGTACTCTTACTTGACTGTGAAGAAATAGACTTCCAAAGCTTATAATGGCGAAGTAGGTTAAAGGTAAAACCAGTATTCTTTAATGTGAGACAGTTTTCTATACACACAGTTGGTATATTTGGGTGTAAAAGCTGATTGATGATAATATTTTTCCAGGCATGTTGGAAATTAGGATCGATAACTTTTCCTATAAGTGACACTTTTAAACCTATAATAAAATCGTTAGTATAGAAGAGACCTAGACCCCCACATTCACGAGGAGAAGTAACAATATCACGTTTCAACTTATCCCTCTTACAACCCCACAAGAAGTGAAAAATCATAGTGTCTATTTTACTGATGGTGTTAGTATCAGGAGTTTCTAGTGGTATGATAAGGTAAGTGAACTGGGAAAGAATAAGAGATTTAATAATTGTACACTTTCCTATCAGAGTTAAGTCTCTCTTACTCCAGGTGTTGATAGCGGAGCTGGCGTTATTAAGTTTACTGTGGTAGTTCATTTTGCAGAGATCAGCTCCACTAGACGTGTTGTCGAACTTGACTCCTAATGCTGTAAACTCGTTAGCTACCATGTCTTCCCCGTATGTACTGGTAAGGTAATTTCGAAGACTAGTGTTGTCTCTGGTAGCTCCTAAAGGTATGCACTTAGTTTTACTGATGTTGGGCTTACAGCCTGAGTGCTGACCGAACAGGTTGAGCTCTAGGATAACTGCATCTACGCAAGCCTGGGAGGGATCCAGGTACAGATCCGTGTCATCAGCAAACAGACTCATGAGTATGTCGATACCATTAATGCTGAGGCCTTTAATATAAGGGTTATACTGTAGCTTATTACTAAGTACCTGGGACACTAGGAGGAAAAGAATTGGGGAAAGGGGGCTCCCCTGATGGACGCCACGAAGTATGTGAACAGGGCTGCTAAGGTGTCCGTTAACGTTAGCGTAACTCATACCAGCGTGAAATGCCACTCTCACCAAGTTGATTAAATAATTTCCAAACCCCATACCTTCCAAGACACTGAAAAGAAACTTATGTTCGACCGAGTCGAAAGCCCGTTGGAGGTCGACCTGCATAATCATACCAGTATCCTCTTGGTTATCATGGTAATGTTCTAAGGTTAGATACATTAAGATCAGATTATCGCAGGTACTCTTCCCTTTTTGAAACCTAGTACTAATAAGTGTTGGAAGTGAACTTAAGATCCTATTTTTTATAATATGAGTGAATATCTTATAGTCTACATTCAAAAGGGTGATTGGTCGCCAGTTCTTTATATAGTTTAACTCAATGGGGGTTTTAGGTTTCGGGATAAGTGTTATAATTCCTAGACGTTGTGAAGGTGACATAACCCCATTATCAACCGACTCTAAAAAGGAGTTAAATAGGATATTCTTAATGTCCTCCCAGAATACTTTGTAGAATTCAGCAGTGAGGCCGTCCCACCCTGGAGATTTATTTTTCTTAAATTTACTGATAATACTATCCATCTCCAGGAGGGAAATTGGCCTATCTAACCTGTCAGCGTTCTCCTGATCAATAGTATCTAGGTTACTGGAATTAATATAATCGGTTATTTCATGCTCGTTTGGATTCGTAGAGCTAAAGATGTCGTGATAAAAATTAACTACGTGCTCAGAAATATCCTGCTGTGTGCGTAGTACACTCTGATCGCTGTTAATAAGTTTGGTAATAGACTTTTTTTTAGCTCTACTTTTCTCCAGCCCGAAGAAATATTTGGTGGACCTTTCACCCTCCTCTGTCCACTGAATCCTAGACCTGGTCATGGCCCCGTTAACTTCAGCTTTGATGATACCATCAAGCTGGGATTCCAAGTCATACAATTTTTTGCGCAGATCATCTTTCTGCATAAAATCAGTTATCTTTTTAACCTCTTCAATATCAGAGGATATTTTTTTCTTTTTTGCAACTTTTTCTTTCTTTTCTTTTTTTCCGAATCTGATCGCAAAATCTTTAATTTTCATTTTAATCACGTCCCAGAGTCCCGAGTACGAATCAAAATTACTGTCAGCAGTTTCATTGATAATCTCCCGTACATTACTCAAAAACGACTCATTATTTAGATGGCTATTATTAAGTTTCCAATATCCTATTCCACGTTTAATGGGGGAACCCTGTAGAGATAATGAAATGTAGCTGTGATCAGATCGAAAGCCATGACTAATATCTGCGTTACAGACCGGATAATTAACCAGACTATCATCTATAAGGAAGAAATCTAGGCGTGTTTGGGTTTTGTGCTGTTTATTTACGTGAGTATAAACACGCTCATTACCCCTACTAAGACGGAAGATATCACTGATGCCATGATCAGCGGTCACCTGGTTCAAATATTGCTGACGCTTAGTATTACTGTGGGAACTATTACCACCATATTTATCAAGATTATTATTTAAGATAGTATTCCAGTCCCCAGCCAAGATACGATAATCATCCCTTGTACGTCCTAGAGTTTCCAGGAACAAGTTCTCTACAACATAAGTATCATTGCTATTAGGACAATAGACGTTTACCAAGCAATACTTGATGGAATCCTTCTCAATTTCTAACAGTGATACACGTCCCTGTGTGATGATCCTGTGACTGCAAATTTTAATATTAGAATTGGGTTTGACCAGGAATGTAACCCCAGTGGACTTAGAGGTACCATGATTGAAATAAATATCTCCCCCCCAGATTGTCCTCCAGAAGTCTTCCGTTTCAACTACAGAGTGAGATTCTTGTACCATAATAATATCTTCTGGTTTAGCTAGTAGCCAACCAAGAACCGATCTACGTTTCTCGGGGTTTCCGAGGCCATTGCAATTGAAAGAACCTACCCTAAGACTGGCTCCTACACTGTCATTTTCTGACATTGTAAATTCTGAAATTAGCCGCCGCTCTAAAGTTATTTTCACTAAGTTCGTGACGAGTAAAGCTAGTATTGAGTCTAGTACCGTTTCTCCCAATATTGCAAAGAATGACGTAGTAGTTATTGTACAATGACAAAAAACAAAATGATAAAAACACACGCAATCACACATCTTATTACTAGTAGATGTATGAATCATTAAACAAGAAATTGCTGAAATAACGCTGCTATAGCCCATATAGTAAATGTATTTTATACGCTTAAACAAGTCCTAGAAATCCCGTGATGGGGCGTCCCCCTAATACTATAAGCTTCTAAGCTGATACTCTCTAATATAGAAGTCAGAGGGAAATCAATCTGGCTAGAAAGGCTCAAGTGTTTAATAAAGTTTTAACCCAGAATGCAAAATTAAATTAAAAAATGCATTTTTATATCTGAAGTTGTCAATTTTTATTTTATTTTTCAGACTACAGAGCAGTCATTTTCCTTTCGGGTCAACAGCAAACATGTGACATGATATGCGTCAAGTCAGCTCAAGCAACAATTTCAAAAGTAAAGGCCGTTTTTGAAAGGTCGACTGCATTCTTTACAATGTCAGTCCTTGGAGACATAAAGCCATTGAGTGTATTCCTTCACTATAAAGGTTTGTACTTTGTTGTACTTTTTCAGTTACAATTCACTTTCATTGACATTTTTAAAAATTTTTTAATTTGTGTGGTTCACTGTTTGAACTTCTACCAAAATATTAACAGAAGTCAGAAGGCCTAGTAGTATATAGTATAGCTGCGGCTGGCGGCAACACTAAATAAATTGATAATAATAATATAGTACAGGTAAAATAATGCATTAAACAAATTTAGAGACAGTCGGTTCATGTACAGATTAAAAAAACAAAATACAGGTTAGGTTTGTTTTGTATTTGTAACTAGACTATAATAGTATCTTTCTCAGAAGGAAACAAGGATATTCCAATATCCCTTCCAGACTTCTCTGCAGTATCGGGTCCCTACACAATCTCACATCGTTTAGAGGACGTTTACTTTTGTGACGGTGGTCATTACAGTTTCAGGTTTTAAGTCATTCGAACTGTGCTAGCTTAGAAATTTCTTGAATGATCCATTCAACGGCGTTTTGTACATTAAATCTCGATTATACATTTGATCATGAATTCTTTTGCCGTAAAGCAACTTTCTGAATTTATTCAACTTCCACTTCCAGTTCCAGGCATGGTCCAAATTAACGTCGTCTGTTGTTGGCTAGTAGTAGTGGCTACATTAATTAGTATTACAAATGTATTCAAATTGAATGACCCATCATATCACTATCAGGATCAAGTTGGAGACTGGATTCGAATTCAGTACTGACGAGACGAACCTAAAGATCAAACTACGCTGTAAACCACCTCGTACGCCTCCGAATACACTTTTGAAAAAGGTCAGTTTTATACAGATGTAATACTAATATTAGGTACAAAGCTCAGTTTAAAACTTGAATATAAATCTTTTCTTCTTCCCGAGTTGATTAGTCCATTTTCTATCCACACTCAGTGAGTCAAGGATGTCATTTTCAGGTTGAAATTGCTGAATCCGACGACTACAAATATGTCGTCACGTGTATCAACGAAGACCTTGTCTTAATGAACGAGAACGCGAAGGAAGTGATCTGCAACACATCTACTGGCTCATATCACACTAAGATTGATCTTAGTCCTTGTCTAAGAGTCATTGAACAAATTTACCCTTGAGCATTGACTCTGTGAAACATAAACTGGGATTGAAAGGTTCAAATCATAGATCATATTTTTATTCTTGTTTTGATGTTGGAGCCAATTTTATTCTTGAGGTAGTTTTTATCATAAAACTCTCAAAACAATGTTGGGCGGCGCCCAGCCTGCCATTAGCCTTATCTTCAATTGGTCCTCATGTGCTCATGAACACAAAAGCCTGAGGTTTCCACTTCTCAGGTAATCATTACCTGAGGACCCCAGGCTATTATGTTCATTAACATAATGAACATTATAATAAAGATTTGGCGGAATGACAGGCTGAGCGCGGCCCAGTAAAGGTAATCAAAACAATTGCAATCCACAATCTAACATCAAACACCCTGGTACAATATTTTGAAACTTAATCAATCCTGCTATGTGTTATGATGGCAAATTATTTTATATTTGTGATTGGTTTAACAGACAGAACTGTACTTTTTTATTTAACGGGTGATACTCGTAGAATATTTTTTCACAGACCGTCGACAAGTCCAACTCGGCGCGCGTCTTGGTAATGGTTGGTTATAAACCTACAATTTTGTAAAACAAGTAAACTACTACTACTAGAACCATGTTTTCTGCTTTATTTTTGTTTTGTGCGTTGTTTAGTTGTTTAGTTATTTAATTCAAGTTCAACTGAAAGTTTTGTAAATTACAATTTTAAGTTTTACTGTATTATTTGATTAAAATTATAACTTTTTCCAACAAAAAGTTGTTATTTCTCTGCTGAATAAATTAAACTGATTGTGCTAAATCAGTCTACACTGATCGATCTTCGAGATTTTTCTAAAAGAGCCCCCGACAGTTGAAACCTATTTGAATCGATGTATTTTCGGACGCTGATTCCGAAAATCACCCCCATGACATAATACCATTACTAATTGGGTTAACATTTTTAACCAAATTAAGCTGTCGATGATTGAAATAATGAAATTTATTTCTATATTTAACTAACAAATTAACTAACTTAACTTTTTAATTAACCTATATTATTATTAAATCTATTAGTTAGTAACCAGTATCTGTACAGGCTCCAAGTCTCCGCCATCCTCCCCTATCGATATGAGACTGGCCATGTTCACCAACTATCTGGAAAGTTTAATGAAAATCAGATCTCGAAATATATGCCTGTGTTCTGTTAGAAACCGCCAATTTGGAGATATTTTCTTGTGTTTGAAGTCATATCTCAAGTTTGGCACATAGAAATTCTCCCAAACTCGTACACATTATCTGTCATATAGCCATGTAATTATCTGGAAAGTTTAAAGAAAATCTATCAGTCAGATCTTGAAATATATGCCTGATTTCCGTTAGAAACCGCCAATTTGGAGATATTTTCTTGTGTTTGAAGTCATATCTCAAGTTTGGCACATAGAATTTCTCCAAAACTCTCACACATTATCTGCCATATAACCATGTAACTATTTCAAAAGTTTAAAGAAAATCTATCGGTCAGATCTTGAGAAAATTGAAAATATATTATAAGTTATTCACTAAAACTCTCGATTTTCGACCAATCCATATTATGGTACAGTTTTGTCGAAAGTCTGAATTTCGGTAACAAATAAGGACTTAATTTGAGTTTACTGCACGCGCGATGAATAATTTGTGTTTATAGAGATCTGCGGCGCGTTATCAGGTTAACCAATGAAATCACGGCGTTTTCGTCACGTGACAGTCGAGTGTAGAGTGATTAATTATCATCCTAGTTTATACGCTAGTTTATGTCAATATAATTCTGTACTAGACTGAAGTTTTTCATGAATTTTGCCAATAAATAAAGTACATTTAAACAATATTTCCCACCGCACCGATTGTCAATGTGTACAACTTGATAAATTTCACTACAGTCAACAGAACAAAAGTCAACAGAACGATCCCAGCTCCCACTAAAATGTATTTTCTCACCTGGTCTTACTACTCCGCGACAGTAAACTGTGGAACCTGCTGTACCTCCGACTGCCCAGATCCAGTCTGCATCACGTGATATTGCAGCTATTTGACCAAAGTGATTGGCACCGTGGTCAGCTATCTTAAAAGCAATCTGCCAGTTATCTGAACTATCTTGAAATCCTGGCAGCTCCCATCCTTCTTCCTCGACCGATGAGCATTTCCAGTTAGTGTCTGTCACGAAGATTGTCTCTCCTTCCTCGTTCTGTAGTGATGCTAATATTCCATAATTAATACCTTTGTCACTACCTTTCAATGCTATCACCCTCAATGCTTCTGATGTCTGGAACGCTGTCGATCGATACCAAATTCTAAGGGTACCGTCTTGTTTTTCATGTTGAACTCCATCAAGATACACTTCCAGGACATCGTCACAAGTAGCTATCAGAGTCACTTTCCCTATTAAGTGTTATGATAATTAATAACTAATAATATTAGTTGTAATCAAGTAATTAATCTAAACGTGCAGCTAATTTGAGGGTAAATGTTTTTGTTGTGACACCTCCTTGTATTGGATATCACTATTGTAAAGTAAGAACTGTTAACAACTATAATAATAATGGGTACTAACCTTTATTGGCATTGGTAGTCAGTAAGCAGAGAGTCAGTACCAGTAGAAGTATAGATAACATCACATAGTCGAACTTGTTTACATCGCTTATCTACAGCAGATAAGAATTGAAATTCAAACAACTGATTGGATCAAAACACAAAAACTTTTTCCAAACTCGATATTTTTTGGCCATTTTACTTCCCAGCCGATTATCTAGACCGTTAGATATTTCCAACGAAAGATTAAAACTGAAATTCATTGCACCCCCTCAAAAACCAAAAAACTTAACACACTGCCTTGCAGGTGGTGTGATCCAGCACTCCCAATCCCTCTCACTCTACGACATAAACCCCTCTACAGACATCTTCTGTGCATTCCAACTAGACGGTTTCCCCCAGTTCTACAAGCTCCAGTTCCCCTATCTCGGCACTTCAACTTCCCGTAAAACCTTCATGACACGCGATGAGAAGGATCGGAAGTTGCCCATACACGTGAGATGTGAGATAGTCAGCAAGTTCTGCTGGAAGATTGTGCTGTATGTCAAGTTTGTGGTGGTCAACCTTACTGTCTACCCTCTCGTTTTCTCTCAACAGAAGTAAGCCATTCATGTTTTACCATGCCTTTTGGTTATTCGGTTTATATCATTTTACCAAAACCCATAATCATGGGTAGAGTGGACCGCTGTCAGTGTCTCTCTTTCCCAAACAAAAGGAAATGATATTAATTTGATTGACCGTTCTCAAATGCAAAATGATACCGAGAATGAAATCGGTCGCTCGCTTTTCCCATTCATTCACGGCTTACGAATTGTATAAATAAGTTTTGATTGATTACATCAATCAGATGCTGTAAAAATCTCTTTGGGTTGCGTTCGGGTCGATACCTAGTATTTTGGGGTAAGGGACAAGGGTGGTAGTTATAACTTATTGAATAAGCTGAAGTTTATTGAATCTTTATTGCCGAGTACAGCTGCCTTTGGGCAGTTCTTCTTAATCTATTACAATTGTAAATGAATGGGAAAAGCGAGCGACCGATTTCATTCTCGGTATCATTTTGCATTTGAGAACGGTCAATCAAATTAATATCATTTCCTTTTGTTTGGGAAAGAGAGACACTGACAGCGGTCCACTCTACCCATGATTATGGGTTTTGGTAAAATATCATCTCTTTTTGATTATAATGTCAGGGTACTTTATAAAGTCGAAATATAAACTGATATCTTCATTAATAAGGAGGAAGTTTCAACGATTTCGAAATTTTTCCTTTAAAAACATTTCCTTGTGTTTAGGGAAGCATATCGGTCGATCACTGACTGAATATGCCACTTAATACTCATCCAAGTTGGCATTAAATTCATATATAATGACATTAAACTGTCGTGGCAAAGCAGAATTTGTTGGAAATCACGAATGAGCAAAATTCTCACCTTTCGCACGTGCAAACTTTGAGCGGACTTTGCGTGCGCATCCAATATTGAATCGCCGTAAATTTTTGCATGTAATTGTTTTATATATAGTTTGATAAGCATGCAAAGTTTCAAAGTATTTCAAGAAGAACTGTAATCACAACGGCACTCTAAAGTTGACAGAAAATGACGAAAACAGCAATTTTCAGTGATTTTAGCAATTTTCTATCAATTTGGGCGTGTCCCCACGTGTGCAACTTTTCGATTTTCAACTTTAAAACTAGCCTAATGCACAATTTATACCTATAAGAAGCAGAACTGAGCTCCACAACCCAAGGCATGGCCCAACACCAGAGAATACTAAATCGCAAAATTGACGTTTTTATAAAATAATTCTTCAAAAAAGCACAAACTTCAATGACGAATATCTTTATGAAGGAGCAAGCTAGAAAAACTTTCCGGTAGATTTTCAGAATGCTTGAACAATTATCTAAGGTGAAAATTTCCTCAGATTTTGAATTAAATTACTCCTTAATGGTGTAAAATTAATTTTAAAAGTTATTACTTTGTCAAAAATCAAGTTTTAAAAACGGTTAACTTGATGACGTCATCAAGGGGTGTTTATGACGTCAAATAATTTTTTTATACAATGTAAACTAAAGTGTAAACAATTATTCGCAAGACCTGTGGTCGGAAATGGCTGTATCTTTTATACTTTTGAATCTATGGACACTTAAATACAGGTTACAATTGACTGGCAAAGCGTCTATCCCTGAATATGTATGTATATATCACGACAATCTATCGTAAAACAGGGCTTCTAGAAAACCCATTTCCCGATGCTCCTGAAACCTGAAACTTTTTTTGCAGTCGATTTGGTCAACGTCTAGGCGCCCTGAAAAATTTCAGATCTCTAACTCAATTTTAACATGGTTTTTAAGGCACCTGAATATGGCGATTTTGGGTTTTTTACCGAATTTCGTATAACAGTGCTGGCGAGTATTTTATGCAAATTTCTTAAAAATCTCAACATAACTATTTTTTATTCCTGTCATCTTTGACATCAAATTAGAATGTTTTGAACTAAAAATAAATCTGCTGAACGACTTCCGATGAGTCTTAATGCCTGGAAAACTCCTGCCGGAGGCGGCGGCCTTCGGCCGCCGCCTCCGGCCGGAGTGCACGCTTCGCGTGCACAAAAGAGGCTTGTAACGTGTACCAAAGGGGGTATAATAGTAAATGGGGTATAATAGTAAAGGGGGTACAATAGTAAAGGGGGTACATAGTATACCCCCAATAAAGACACCGCTCGTGCTTGCCAGCACTGTGATTTAAAGGATGATAAAAGATGCTCTTTTACCATAATATTGGGTACCATAACCCAATCTCCCTCAGCTCAGGAGAGGGTGCAGCATGTCAGTATGAAGCTCACGAGGCTGCGAGAAGTCTTCATCCCCTTATGTTTGATTACAGCAATGAGACACAGCCTCAACGCTTGAGCATACGCATTGGCAAGCAGTATCGCAAGGTATCACGACCTGTTTTTCAGTCTATATCTCATTTGATCACTATATCTTTTATTTATTCGCCTTGGCCTGTATTGAACTAATTAGAAGACTAAATTGCCGAATTTGTATACCAATCTGTATGTGATAACTATTAATTTAGTTTTTTTAGTTTAGTTT